GGAAGGGAAAATCAGGAGATTTGCAGACAAAAAAAAAGGCTAAGGGAGTTTATCACTACCAAGCCAGCAATGCAAGAAATGCTAAAGGGAATGCTGTAAAAAGAAGAAATATAAAAGTAAGATAGAACACAGGCACGGAAATAGAAATGAATCCAAGCACGTATCTTTCAATAATAACTTTAAATGTAAATGGACTAAATGCTCCAATCAAAAGACATCGAGTGTCTGAATGGATAAAAAGACATGACCCATATATATGCTGTCTATTACTGTCCTACTAGTCCACAGAGCTCATAAAGCTGCACTCTCTTTGTTCTTCTCTCATCGGTTTGTGTGTGACTCTGTGTTTTGCACTCAGATTTCCCCATTTGTAAGCCCACTAACAGGAGGACCAGGCTCTGAGAGTTGAAATTGTGATTTAATGGCAGTTCTGTGCTGGCACTTCAGAGGGAAAGGCAGGGAGTTCATGGTCAAATGCAGCTAATGTGCTCCATCCCCTCCCCCTTTTCTCTCTGTAATTGATGGGGTAAGAGGTAGGGATCAAAAATCATAGAAATTCCAACATGTGAACAGAGATGAGAAATAACAAGAAGACTTTGCTGCCTTGGTGAGTGATGTCAATGAAGATGAACCCATACGTTACGTCCAAACTCACTTGCAGGTGGCTCAGCACGGATCAAGGGGACTCTTACAGGTTATGTCTGCACTCATGACTGTCCTGTGAGGTGTGTGTTCCACCTACAGATGAGGCAAACCTGAGTCTTTCATGGTAAAATGTTTATCTGTGGTCACTCGGCTACTAATTTGACTCTTCAGATTCTCTAAAATGTGATTTTAAAGAGATGGGTTGTGTGGAGAAAGGGCCTACTTAGTATGTGTCATGGGAAATACATATAATTGGTTAACTAAGGAGGCATATGGGGACATATGTGAGTAGTTCTGTAAAGATTTAGAAAAATTTAGGGATGAATGCTTGGTGAATTTTTATTAAAGGGAAATAATGTTCTGGGGACAGGATTTCCATGTGACTGCTGCATTAAGGAGGCCACAGACCCTTTAAAACCAACTATGTTTCTTGGTTCCTGCAGTGAATGCAGAACGGGTCCTGGATTGGCGCTTCGGTGACAGATGGTTACTATGTTCACAGTGAACCCCACTGACCAGCGCAGATTCCAAGGATTCCAGGGAAGGCGGGTTCTCCCTGAATTCCCACCAGGAGGGAGTCCCCAAGCTTAAGCTTCCACCAGAGGGAACAGAGCACGTCCTTGGGGAGTCTCCCTCCCATAACCCGCACTCATATCAATGGCTGCTTCTTTATCACAACCACTACCCTCGTGGCCCCACTCCCTCACCCTAAGGGCCCCGCCTCAACAGGGGCCCAGCCAGGTGGTTCAGGTGAGGTGCTGGAATGGGGATGTTGCCTTCCTCCCAGGCCAGGCCAGGCCAGCAACAGCTGCCCTGAGTACCGTATCCAGGGTGGGGACAGTGCAGAGAAATCTGGAAAACTCGAGAATGCTGACTGGGTGAGGGAAGCAGCTGGCAGAAGCCCAAACCAGACGTGTTTTTTTTTAAAGGGAAGCAGCTGGCAGAAGTCCAAACCAGACCTTTCAGATGAGATTTTAGCCAATCAGAAAAAGGAGTCTAAGCTGACAACCCTGTTGCTAGTAGAGAGTCTGTGTGAAGAGGCCTGTGAGACCTGGGAATCCCCAGGCCTGACGCAGCCTCCACTGCAAGGCCCAGAACAGAACCAAGTCCACAGCCCCAAACAGAACCAACCACACAGCCCAGAGCAGCACTGAGTGCCCAGCCCAGAGCAGAACTGATAGAATTGCCCACTCTGAAAGGAGGGAGGTGATTGGTCAGAGGCCTCTATTAATTCTGAGGGACCCTGAGTTGGGAGCTTAGGGCACTGAGGCCTTCAAGTTCCCTCTCTGACTATTCTTCCTTGTCCCCCAGCCCCATTCCAGGTCTGAGTTGGATGTTCCTCCCCTATGCTTCCTGCCTGACTCTGGAGTGACCCTGACCCTGACCCACCCCTGCTGGTCGGAGCCCAGGGCTGATCCCCTGGCTCAGGGGCTCCAGAGCGATGCACCCAACAGAGAAAACAGGACCAGCTCACAGCCTCCACGTGCCACTAATGCCACCTCTTATTGCTGCCTCCTCCCTGCTTCTTTTTCTTGGTAAACTCCTTATATTCTGCTTTCAGATCCTGTCCTCAAACTTAAAAGGAGAACCTAAAATATAGAGGAGAGCGAGAGAGAAAGAGAAAGAGAGAGCGAGAGAGAGCGCGAGAGAGAGAGAGAGGGTGATAGAGAGAGAGAGAGAGAGAGAGAGGAGAGACTTATCTTGTTTATTAATATTTGCCAGGCATCGTCTTAATTGCTCTATAATCATTCAGTATTACCCCTGGTCATGGGCGAGAGGAGTCTGATAAATAATATATTTATTTAAAACCCCACCAATAGTTCCGCCTTTGGGGTTTGATGCTCAGGGGCTGCACAGTATGAGCTGTGAGTGTGAACACCTGCTCCCTCAATCACACGGCGCAGGCCCCAGGGGTGCTTCTCCAAGTCTTTGCTTTTTGGCTGGAGCTGCAGGTGCCTGTGTCATGTTGATGTGAATGTTTATGTTTGTGCCTTTGTGACATCAGATGGACCTGGAGTTTAGAAGAGTTTAGAAGAGAAAAATCAACTTCAATGTAGAACCCCCCAAAGAATATTTCACTGGAGAAGGGAGGGATGTTCTCATCTTTCCTTAGCCTTCAGATACTCCCACGGCCATTAAACCCCAGCTCTTGTGGCCGGCCCCAATGGCAGGCTGAGAAAACCTCACATGGGGAGTTTTTAAAAATATATATATTTTATTGATTTTTTACAGAGATGAAGGGGGAGGGATACAGAGTTAGAAACATCAATGAGAGAGAAACACCCCCAGGAGCTTCCCAGTAGTTACCAAAAGTAACCCACTACCCTCACTTGCAACAGCTTAAATTAATTTTGCCTAATTTTGAATTTGACATAAGCATTGTCATGTAGTAAGTACTCTTCTAATTTTTCTTGCTCAATATTATGTTGAGGCTTACCTGTGGCTCCTTGTTGTATGTGCCCTTGACCGGAATCAAACCTGGAACCCTTCAGTCCACATTCCGACACTCTATTCACTGAGCCAAACCAGTCAGGGCACATGGAGAGCTTTAAGAGCTTTCAATAGGCTGCATCAAACAAGCAAACAAAAAAGAAAAAAAAATCAACTTAACTTTCAAAGACTTGCATTCAAAGAGCACAAATGCAGTAGATTCTCGCATAAGGAAGACTCACTTGTCAGCAGGGCTGGTGTCATTTTGTGTGTGATATTCCCAACAGCTACACATGCAGCACATCCGAACACTTTGCAGTATTAGAGCAGTCATATTGCTGTGAGTGTGTGTGTATGAAGGTGTCGATATAAAATGCATGAAACATGATCCACATTTTCCAAAGAGAAGCGTGAGGCTACAAGAGGTTGAGTAATTTGTAGTTTCATAAAGCACATTCGAGATAGAGCTGCAGCTCATAACGCACCAGGACTTCAGGCTCCTTGAGTGTTTAAGATAATAGGAGGGAGCATCTCCTGACAATGATTTTCTCTCCCTGATACATGATCCCCACTTATTTCCCCTCCTAAAAATCTCAAGTGTAAGAATATCACAAAGGTTTTAACTGAATATCACAAAGATGCCCACTCTTGAATCACCCTTCTCTCTTGGTTCTTTAATTCCTAAGGCATTCACCTTCTATAACTGAGAGAAAGTCTTCAAATGCTCATTCAGTGCAATTCAAGAAGGCTGGGTTCCAGGCACTGGCTCCAGGGTCT